TCTCCACGTTTACACCATGTTCCATTCAGTCTCACCCCTCCATCACACTCCCTCCCTCTTTCCCACCAAATAGCACCCCAACAGGTTTTCTTGTTAGGTTTTCATAGTTACAAATAATCTGTTTCAAAGGTATTCAACTTCCTTTATCCTCCCCATAAAATAGCTAGTCTTTATTCCTGTTTTTATGCCTTTGGTTTTACTTCATGGGTGCCCCATTTATTTAAGACATAGCAAAATTAAAATTAAAAATATATTTGCAGTTATATCACCTTTACAGTAATATATATATATATATATATTATATATATATAACTTTTTTTTTTTTTTTGTCGGTCGTGGGGCTTGAACTCTGGGCCTGGGCGCTGTCCCTCAGCTCTTCAGCTCAAGGCGAGTGCTCTACCACTTGAGCTACAGCGCCACTTCTGGTTTTCTGGTGGTTTATTGGAGATAGGAGTCTCACAGTCTCTCCTGCCCGGGCTGGCTTTGAACCGCGATCCTCAGATCTCAGCCTCCTGAGTAGCTAGTATGACAGGCGTGAGCCACCAGTGCCCAGCTTAACTTTTTTTTTTTTTTGCCAGTCCTGGGGCTTGAACTCAGGGCCTGGGCACTGTCCTTGAGCTTCCTTTTGTTTAAGGCTAGCTCTACCACTTGAGCCACAGCACCTCTTCCAGCTTTTTCTGTGTATGTGGTATTGAGGAATGGATTCATGCATGCTAGGCAAACATTCTACCACTAAGCCACCTTCCCAGCCCCCCCCCATCTTTGCAGTTAACTATTTCAGCTGAGAAATAGCTACTGTTGTCCATTGCTGACAGCCAATAAGCAGCCAAGTCTGTCCTCACCATTAACAATGTGTAAAGTGAGCAGTTAGACTTAGTCATAGTTAATTATATAGACTTAATGATAGTTAATTACATAGCAAACATAGACAGCAAAACACAGACACAACAAACTGTGGAGTCCATAGTTTAAAAATTTTTTTTTATTTTATGTCAGTCATGGGGCTTGAACTCTGGGCCTGGGCGCTGTCCCTCAGCTCAAGGTAGCATTCTACCACTTGAGCCACAGCGCTACTTCTGGTTTTCTGTGTGATTTTTTTAGAGATAAGAGTCTCACTGACATTCCTGCCCGGGCTGGCTTTGAATCGAGATCCTCAGATCTCAGCCTCTTGAGTAGCTAGGATGACAGGTGTGAGCCACCAGCGCCTGGCTTATTTCAAAACCTTCCCCTGCCTCCCCCCAGCACTAGGGTTTGAACTCAGACCTGTACTTGTTAGGTAGGCGTACCACCACTTGAACTAGGTCTCCAGCCCTTTTTGCTTTTGCTATGTATTGATTAGGGTCCCGAGTTTATGCCCCATCTACATCAAACTTTGATCTTCCTGTTTATCTTGGCTAACTTGGGTGACTGGCACACACTACTATGCCCAGCATTTTGTTGGTTGGTAGGGATCTAAGCCACCTCTTCCTTTTCCTCCACTGCTGATCCTTTCTGTGAACCTCTTTATCTCCATCTCCCGAGTGTCTGAGATTAAAGGCACAAACCACAGTGCCTGGCTTTTAAATTTTATTTTGTTATTAACATATAATTTCTTATGTTGGGATGAATATAAATATGGATGGGGTACAGTGTAATGTTTTCACACATAGGTACCACCTCTGTTGATCATGTCAGGGTAATTAGGATTCCTCTCTGCCCATAGTTTTTCCAGTAGAAATGCTGACGTCATTAATACCTGCCCCCTTGTGTGGTTTTCGGAGGGTCTGTGGTGGGCGAATGCCTTGATTGACAGACTGGCAGTACCCACAGGTGAAAGCTGCCCTGGGGCTCAGCTTCCAGAAGGAGAGATAGGTGCTCAAGCAAACCAAATATTTAAAATATCTAGGAAGTTGCTGGAAGAGTGCTGAGCAGTGAAGCAAGCCAGGAAGTGGGCAGGTGGTGCTGTAAGGCGTGACTTGGTAGCGCTGTGTGATTGATTGGTGCAGAGCAGGAGCTGGGTAAGGGGCCTCCTGATGTCTGGCTGTCAGAGCCCAAGCTGGGCTGGGCCCGAGGGGCTTGAGAGGGTGCGGGGAAGGGCAATGGATGGGCCCAGTGGGTGAGCAGGGAAGAGGGTCCAAGCTGCGCCACACCCAGCGGCAGCTGCCCGCAGGGAAGCCACCAGAGGCCCAGCACCAAGCCCTGGGACCCTGGCAGGGGTGATGAGACCCAGCAGAGATGGGGGCAGTGGCCTGGGATAGCTGGTTGGAAGAGCCAAGTGCGCAGGAAGCCCAGAGAAGGGGCACGAGAGCACTGGGGCTGGAGCTGTCTTGCTGGGGCAGGGGAAGGAAGAAAGACAGTGAATGGAAAGTATGGGCTCTGGGCTGTGTGAGGAGAGCAGAGCAGAGATGATCTGAAGAGGAGCAGAATGGGGACTGGAGCCGAGGCAGAGGTAGGGAGGTAGCACCTCACCACTCCAGATAGACTGCAGCAGAGGAGGGAACTGGGAGGCAGAGAAAGCAAGATGGCCAGTGGAACCAGGGAAGGGGAGGTAGAGAAGGGGGACTCTGGGTGGAGAGGAGTGCGGCCCGTGGAGGCTCCAGTGGTCCTGTCTGCAGCCCTACAGCCAGATGGGCCTGGCCAGGCAGCGGGGGTGGGGGAAGTGCTGGCACACTCACTGTGACTTGACTCCCTTGGCCTGGCCCGCACCTGCTCACTTCTCACCAGTCTGCTCGGGAGAAGCAGCCTCACAGGCAAATCAAATAAACCAAGGCTGCTCATGGAAAAGGAAACAATCCGGGAGGGTGGAGCAGGAGGGTGTCCCTTCTTGCTCTCTGCCTTCTTCCTTAAGTTTGGGAAGTGCCATTCCAGACTGTGCGTTTACACAGACCTACCAAGATGCATGCATGCAGTTACTAGGGAAAGAACTGGCATCAGTTATGTATACTTCTCTGGAACTTTCCACGTGTGCTCCTTGCTGTTGGTGTATTCTGGACATCTTCCCACCGTGGTTCGTGTGATTAAACCACTGTCATTTCATGGTGAAGACTGGTGTTTCACCACATGGCCGTGCCACAGTTTACCATGCCTGTTCTGGCAAGCATCAAGTCTTCTCCCTGGGCTGGTTGGGTGCTCCTTGCTCCATGTGCACCCTGGGAGACACAGAGTTCTAGATGGTAATGCAGAACAAGTCTTTATTGAACATTAATGTTAGTCCAGCTGTTTTATTATATTAGGACTGGACTATCCCCAGGACTTCTGAGAAACAGCAAACTTAATTTGCCAAAATGGCAACCGCATGCTTTGCTCTGTTCCAGTTTTCTTGGGCTTGTTGCCCTAGTTTTTTTCTATCGAAACCTTCACTGTTAGCAGAATTTTAAAGGGCTCTTTATCCTGGCGACAGAAGTATTTGAGTAAACAACTTGGATAACGAATGGCGGTATCCTCATTTGGAAGATGTTAGGATTCAGGGTTTTATGATGAGTTCAGGGTATTTTCTTAAGCCACTTCACAGCTTTTAGAAACCAGGAAAAAATTTGAATTTGGCATTTCAAAGCCATCCCTGTTTCCACTGGTCTCTATGAGGCAGACATTTAACGGGGAATCTGTGGCTTTGGGGGTCCTCTGGGAATGGGCTTCAGTGCCAAAATAAGTGGTTTTAAACCAGGTGGTTGGCTATTGTTCTTTCCTATGAGGAAGTCCAGGGTGGGCAGCTTAGAGACAGTAGTTCATTAGTCTGAGGAGCTTGAGCTCTTGGCTCCTGACTCTGGGCCCTGGTCTCACCCTCTCTCATCCCAGGCCTGGCACCGGCAGATGCAGGGTATGAAGGACAAAAGGCCACAGCACAGGTCACTTCTCAAGGTATCCCAAGATTCTAAGCTTGGGGCTCCTTGGCTAGACCTTAGCCTCAGCTTTTTGCAAGGAAGGCTGGGAAGGCAAGTCTGTCTGGTGTCATCTTCCCTACACAGGGCTCTGTGCTGAGCAGAGGGTAAATAGATTCTACCAGGAAGCCAGTGATGCCTAGTAGTATGCAACCTCAAAAACTACCAAGTTTTGCCTGTTTCGCTTTTTCCTAGAAAACGTCTAGAATGTTTTTCCATTTGTTTGAATTATTAGGTCTGAAAACATCCTGTGACCAGATTTAATGTCTTAAAACCACCAATGAAGAGTTCAGAGGGGCAGCATCTTCACATCAAAGACTACTGCATTTATTAAGAACTTGAGCCTTTTGTTAAAGTTCTTTTGCTTTACTTCTTGATTTGCCTGGATTTGGTGCATATTCTGCCTTGTCTTTCGAAGGATCACCCGTCAGCTTGTCCTCAGAGGTCCTGGTCAGAGGACACAGGTTAGCAGGAGCATGTCAGGCCCGGAGGCTTTTCTGTGACCCTAGGCCTGGCGTACTTCCCCAGACCAGTGGTTGAGGACAGTCTCTGCATAGATCAAAGCTGGAATGGAGACATCTTTCATCACCCCTGCCCTGATGTGTTCTTGTTGAACATTCTGAAATGGTGATAAGTGCAGATAATAAAAGTACACAAAAGCTAGGAAGGTAGCTTAGTGGAAGAGAGCTTGCTTAGCATGCATGAAGCCCTGGGTTCGATTCCTCAGTATCACATACACAGAAAAAGCTGGAAGTGGTGCTGTGGCTCAAGTGGTAGAATGCTAGCCTTGAGCAAAAGAAGCTCAGGCACAGTGCCCAGGCCCTGAATTCAAGCCCCAGGAATGTCAAAAAGAAAAAAAAGGCATAATATTATTAAAAACATGTGGGAAAACTAGAAGCTGTCAGGTGTGGGCTGGTCTAGACATTAAGGAAAATGGCCACTAGTAATACTTCTGAGTGGTTTCTTAATTATTATAGGCACTAACCTTTTAGTGGTACAAAAAGCTCTGTGTTAAAAATCTGCAGACATTTAGATCTTTCTGGATGTGCAGAATTACTTAGTGTAGTAGCTCTTGTTCTTTCACATGTCACGTACCATGTTTATGATGGCTGATTTTCCTCTTTCTTTCCTCTTGTTTTGTAGCCTCCCTGTGAACTGAATTCTTGCTCAGTCGGCCTGCCCCTCTTTCCGTTGTCTGGATGATGTCCGAGCAGGACCTGGCGGATGTGGTTCAGATTGCCGTGGAAGACCTGAGTCCTGACCATCCAGGTACAGAGCTGTGGGACAGTAGGTGAACTATTATTATTCTCTTTGTACCTTAAAACCTAAAAGCTACTACAATTGTTTTCTTTCCTTTTTGCAGAAGCAGAATGATGCCTGTTCTGTATGAAATGTGAATCATAGATTCATTTCTTTTCTTCATCCTTCTGGCCAGGCCCTCAGATCTCTGCACAGCTGTGCAGCCATTCGGCAGCTCCCTTCCTGGGTACCCTGGTACCTGTCAGTCATGCTCTCTGTGGTCAGGAACATATCCTCTCTCATGGTCCTGCATTTCTTAAATGTTTACAACCTCCCCTGTATAACACTAAATATTATGGTGGACCATGCTAATTGTCCCGTGTTCATGTGGGCAAACCTAATTATATTTAGTAACTATGTGGCATTCTATTTATAGACCTTCTCTAATTTATGGCCATCTCTCACATAGTGGCCACGGCCATGTTTTGCACACTCTCCCACATACAGTGAGGTGATAAGGATCTTTGCACATACAGGTTGGCTTGTTTGTTGTTTTTTTGGAAACAGGGTCTCTAGTCCAGGCCGAGCTCCGCCTCCACCTCTGACTGTGGGGTTGTAAGTGTGGGTCACCACGCCTGACTTGGTAAAGGTTTTTGTAGGGTAAATTCCGAGAAGCATGTGTAACATTTTATGGATGTTTAACAAGTTGATAAGACGTTGGCGAATGTGCCAGAAACGTTTCATTAACTCATTTGTCTGCTGTGCTTGGAAACAACTTGCCCCTTCACCTCTGTTAAGGCTGGCACTTTTCTTTATGTTAAACACACAAGATATACTTTGAAACTTTAAATATTTATTTCAAGGAGACTCTTTGGAAGTATACTTCTGAGTCTCAAAATTTTAGGAACTTCATCTGTGAAACAACTTTGTCTACATTTATTATTTTCTAACGATTTCTTAACAAGGTCTCTTTGTTTTGCTGGAGTGTCTGATATATTGTTTGGTTCTGTGTGAATGGGAAGTGCACACAAGTCTCAGAGAATTTGGTTATTCTTTCAGGAATGGTAAAATTGAAAACAAGTCTCATAAGAAACTCTAATTCTCATTTGTGTGATATCTTAGTACCTTAGCTGCAAATGCCACATTTAGAACTTAGCTATGGTATAGAAAAGGAGAGTGACTGAAATAATTTTGGAAGGACAGTCATAAAAAATACACAGGACCACTGTCGCTCAGTCAGTTTATGTTGCTTCCAATTTGTTTATAAGAAGTTCTGCCATTGTACATAACAATTTAAGAATGGTCTGTTCATATTTTAGTGAGTGATTGACAATTTTTTTAGAAAACATATTGCAATGCTGTAAAAGAAAAAATGTTCCAACGCCCTAAGTTTTAGAGATTAGACATTTTAGATACTAAGGTTCAGGCAGAGAAGGAGTACTGTGGTTTAGGTACCAAGGACACACATTGTTCCTTTCCCTAGTATGAAGGAAGTGGTTGTGTGGCTCTGGACAAGCCACCGAGCCTCTCTGGACGGGTGTCCATTCTGCAAGTTGAAAGGCTAAATAGCAGTCACCAGGGCCTCTGCTTCCCCAGTTCGAGGACGGTCATCACTTTGCAAGTGGGATTAAGGAGGCCCCACAAGGGCTGGGGAACCTACAACAGCCCGGCACTGCAGGCTTGGGCTTCGGTTCAGGGAGTGTGGGTGAGCAGGCTGAGGTGGGCTGATGGGGGACCACTGCTTCCTGGAGCTGCGACAGAGTGCCAAGAGGCTGCATACCTCTCCCTGTCAGACTCACTGCAGCTGCTCAGTGTCGCATCCAGCTGCTTGTGTTGCAGTTTAGAGTGAGGAAATGAATCATCTCACATGCTGCGCCTTTCTTTCCCCTCTGAGATCTTGTTTGGGTTGTGGCTCAGTCAGCTGCTCTGACTGAGGTGGGGCCAGGGGTCATGGAGACTGGGCACTCAGCTTCCCACAGTGCAGCTGTGTGTGGAGGAGCAGTCTGCTCTGGGGTGGTGCGGGGATTGCTGGTGGCACAGGGCAAGCACATGTGAGTTCCTACTCTTTGGAGGAATGGCTTCTTAACCAAGATGACCTCTGGATGGGACATCTGTGTCCCCAGTGGAGGTGATTGGTGGAAAGAGGGGGGATCATGGCCAATTAGCACTGCTGGAGTCGGGGCACACCATTGGCTCATCTCTCTGACTGCAATAGGGGTGCATTTGAGAGCATGTGGAGGAATGCAAAGTGCATGGCTCTGTAGGTTGCTGGTCTTGTCCTACCCAGAATACTAGAGTAAACATACTTGTGTTCCTACAGGTATACTTAATACACTTGTTGCCTATATGTGCCTATGTAACATGTTCCTGCATACTGCCATGTGCTAGTATTAAAAGTGAGTTAAAGCCATTAACCTGTGAATAGCTGAAGGAGGAGGAATGGTGCAGACAGACTTGCCCGAGGGTTAGGTGGCCTGTTGTACCCTCTCCTGGCAAGCCTGTAACACGTTAGGTAGAAATTGTAGAACAAGGAAGGAGAAGAGCACCAGGCAGAGAGAGTCAGGGATCCAGGCAGGGAGTTGAAGTGAAGTGAGAAAGTGTCAGTGACTCAGCAGCGCCACCCCTCTGCAGTTGCAAGGGTGTAAGTTTGTAAAGACAAAGGAGGGATGGGAAGGGTGGGACTGGCACACACAGAACTGGGCTTTGCAGCCGTGAGATGGCCGTGGGCAACGTCGATCTCTGGCTCTTTTTTATCTTTTTTTCTGTCAAAGACTGGGCCTTGAACTCGGTGTCTGGTGCTGGCTTTCACTCATTGGCTGGTGCTCTCTGACGTGAGCCAAGCGTTCGACCTCCCTGTGATCTTTGGATCCTGGCTTGGAGTCGATTGTAGATGAGAGAAGGAAGTTGGGATGGGATCATGGCAGGCCTGGAATACGGGTTGCTTTGCTTCTCTGGGGCAGGCCATGAAGGTCTGCGGAATCTTCCAGCGGGAAGCTGCTGACCGCAGCTGAGCCGTGAGGCAGCTTCTGCAGAACTCGCTCCGCATGTTGGGGCTGAGCCCTTTGGATTACCCACACCTGAACACATGTGGCATGCAGAGGGTGCTATCTTCCCACTTGTGCTGGGGGTGAACACTGGATCTGGCACTCGGCAAGGGTTCTACCACTTGGCTACTTCCCAAGCTACAGGGCAGCTTTGATTTCAAGTTGGGGGGTGAGGCTCTGCCGTGACGTGCAACGTGCTCATTAAAATATGCGTTGGCATGGGGACACACGTTTGAGTGTTAATGAAATGAAATAGGAGCTAGATTGCACCTCTCTCATTCAGTACTCATTGTCTTACTTGCTGTCTTAAAAATATTATTTATTTAAGTAGCTTTCAAAGGAGTTACTAGTCAAGAGATCGGTTTACAAGTATATTGCCTTGTGATCAATGTCAGTCCATTCATCCCTCCCAATCCAACCCCTCTCCTCAGTTTTCTTAGTTTCATAGGATATGCGTTGAATATTGTGACTTCATTCCCTTCCCTTTCCTGTCTTTATTCTCTATTCCCCTCCGCTTGACCCACACCTTTCAAATACCAGCTTCCTGGTATTCATTTTGTTGGACTGTGAGTTTTTCTAAGGAATTATACCATTTGAATTCTCCCCTGCAAATACCATATTTTGGTTAATTCATTTGTGTATTGCACACAATCCTGAATGTGTTTATTTGCTGCCTTAATGGTAGAAGAATTCAGAGAAAGTTTTCAGGTTAAACTCTAATTTTCTGTCTCTACTATTGGTTTTCAGTTGTTTTAGAGAATCATGTAGTGACAGATGAAGATGAACCTGCTTTGAAACGCCAGCGCCTAGAAATCAATTGTCAGGACCCCTCTATAAAGGTAATACGATGAAGGCATGTGTTCTGTAGCTGAGTTTTCTCCCAGGGACTGGGGGGCTCTGAGGACAATAGAAAGTTACTCACCAGCTGTTCTAGAGGTTGGAACTCCAAAGTCCAGGTGTGACTGTGCTGTAGGGCCCCCCCCCCCCCCTGCTCCCAACACTGCAGTCTGTGTCCAGGCCTGGGCGACCTGACCAAGTACATCTGCAAAAGAGTTTCTCTAGGTAGTGTTAGGGTGAGGTGCTGTAAATGGGGTGTCTTCCTATGGTCGCACAGGCCCTCCATAGTTGGGAAGAAGGTGAGTGGTCACCTGTTGCCCACTACTGTGAACTGTTTCGGGCTAATCCTGAAGTTTGCTAGCTGGGGTTCTCAGACTCAGTCAGTCAGTGGGTTATTTGTTTGTTTGGTTCCAGTGTCTGTAGAGTCAGAGATAAACACCAGCACAGGAGCTGCTGATAAGAGCAGCACAAATGGAGCTCACTCACTCCCCGTGCATCCTCTGCTCACACAGTGTGTCTGTTAGTGCCATCTGGGTCGCTGCAATGTGAGCTCAAGTGAGTGGCTATAAACGCTATGCACCAGCACACTTGTATGTGCTAATAAAAATCTTACATATATGTCTCATGAGCAACCCTCTTTATGGGTGTCTTACACAGCAGAATTCCTTCCTGATTCATGGGTCTCCCCATGTGTTCCCAGTGGCTCCTGGCGCGAATGCGATTGAGGGAATGGGCCAGGGTCTTTTCTTGGGTTTGAGTTGTGCAAATGGCTGTTGCTCCAAGTTGGCCATTGGGCTGGACCAGGCAATGACCCTCCTCCTGACTGCCACTAGGTGGCATGGTGGCGACTCGGAAGGTCCGCTGGAAGGTCACTACGGATTTCAAAGTCAAGGCATCTTTTCAGGGCAGCTGGGCACGGTGAGAATATGCAGAACCTTTGGTTTTTAGGCCGTTTAGCTGTTATGTGTAATCTGTTTTCATCATTGGAAGTATTTTGTAGTTTGTATAAATTTGCTGATTGACACCGTAGCCTATTCATAGACAATAGAAGCTGATGGGGATAAGCATAACTGAGGCTCGCCCCTGCGTGTGGATGGGCCTGGAGGGAGGCTCCTGGCTGTCACTGATGAGCCGGTACAGAGGAGTCGTTGAAGCTAAGGACCAGCTGCTCGCCCTCCTCAGAATTGTCTCCCTGCAGTGGAAGAAACTTGGTGATACTTTTCTCTTTTCTTGCAGTCTTTCCTCTACTCCATTAACCAGACGATATGTCTGCGGTTGGACGGCATTGAGGCCAAGCTGCAAGCTCTGGAGGCAACTTGCAAGTCCTTGGAGGAGAAGCTGGACCTAGTGACCAACAAGCAGCACAGCCCCATCCAGGTCCCCATGGTGGCAGGGTCCCCACTTGGCGCCACTCAGACCTGCAACAAAGTGCGATGGTAAGGACAGAGGAGCCCCAGTTCTCAGAGGAGCCTTTAGAAAAAGCGCCCCAGGCTGGCTCAGGCCCTGCTGTGATGGATCGGCCATGGACATCGGCTTTCTGCCCCTGTGGTTCCATGGCAGCCTCCAGTTAGACTGAAACCAAACACAGGCTCCCTGCTGGAAGGACTTGAGTTGTTTCCACTTGCTATTTGACATGAGCCAGACCGAGGCATCTTTCCCATGCACCTGACCAAGTCTTGGCAGATTGCACTTGCTCCTTTTCTTTTTCCACCTCTCTTTGGCTGGTCTTCAGATATTTTTTTCCTTAAAATTTACTTGAGTATATCAGACTTTCCATTCAAGTCTGTAGCTTCTACTGTGCCTACTTGAAACGTAGAGAGGTCTTGTAGTTTCCACACTGAGTGGAAGCTTTGTGAACTGTTGGACTGGAGCAGGGCCGCTGAAGGCCTTGGCCTGAGTGTTCATTCTACAGGCCAAGGCAGCCTGCTGTGGGCGTGCTCAGGCTCAGGCTTGGGCGGCGACCGCAGGTCTGTCAAGAGGTCATCTCTGTGGCAGGGGGCAAGTCTGTGCATCTGAGGAGAGCTTGAAGCCCTTCTGCCAAGGGCTATTCTCTTGAGTTCCCTGCAAGCCCTGGCCAACGGCCCTGTGCGACTGGAGGAGCAGCATGGTGTGCGAGCAGCGAGTGCCACCTCAGGCCAAAGGGACTGCAGTGACTTACTGCCAGCAGTGGCCACTGGGGGCCACTCTGCCATGTGTGCTGGTGGCCAGAGCAGCACTGGGTGTTTAGTAGACTTTCAGGGCATTATGGGAAAGGGGAGTAGGGGTCCCTAGGGGATCTTGTGGATGCCGAGGGGCCATCTGTCCTGCTGTGTCTGGGACAGCTTCCTGCCATGTCAGCTGTGCTGGTGCAGTTCACAGAACCTCCCTTAGGACTTATAAGCACATTGGGATGTTGGTGACGGCCTGGTCCTACTGTCACCTTCAGAGGGGAGGCGCAGGGAGGGTACCGTCTGGGCGGAGGAGGTGGGCACCGGCCCGTGCTCTGCATCTGTGCTGTGCTGTGC